TCTAATAAGCTAATCTAGCTGTTTTTTTATGATTAAGGTAAAATCATAGGACGTGACCCGTCAGAATGGTGGAATTTGTTTAAAAACATTTATGCCACCTTGACATTGCTTGTAATCAGGTGCTAAGTTATATGTACACGATAAGGAGGTCTCTTTTTTAACGGAAGCCTTGACATAGGCCACCTAAAGTGTGAGTCTTATCTAGAATGGTAAGAAAAGTAACGAAACGCATGTACTTTAGTCATAGATCGTATGATTCTGGTGGACTCAGCAGTTTCCATAAAGCTGGATAAATCTTAGTGGTAAATACAATAATTTGGCTCACAGAATTACATTAAATATATATATTAAGTGTTTAAACTTAAAACGAAAGCTTTTCATATTAAGCTGCCAAAGGGAAGACAATAGAATTTAATTGGAAAGCATTCAGCCACTTGATAAATGGCAATAATAATTTTAATTGCAATGTCTATCTCAAACATGATAAAATATACTGTGATAGTCACGCCAACTGAGGTGAAATGAAGGCCAAAACACTCTGGATTTGGATTTCCATCATAGCTTGTAAAATAAAATATACTACTATATAACCCATATTTACAGACCATCACAATGTCCGCCACCGACGCGCTCTACAATCGTCCTGGCCCCAATCGCCTGAGGCAGGCAGACGCCTATCGCACCACCAACCGCCAGGATGCCGTCAAGATTCGGTTCGCCAAGGAGGGAATCGGGGCCGAGGAGCCCATCTCGGTGCCTGGCCTGCTGAAGCGCACTGTCAACAATTACGGCGACTATCCCGCCCTTCGCACCAAGAACGGCAAAAACGGCTATTACACGGTCACCTACAAGTGAGTAGCGCTAATCGAATTGCCGGCCAATTTGCCAATTGCCAATTTGTGCCCGATTCACTTAACGCCAACTGGATTACCCCATTCCCCCTTAGACAATACGAGGAGAAGGTGCACCAGGTGGCCAAGGCGTTCATCAAGCTCGGCCTGGAGGAGCACCACTCGGTGGGCGTCTTGGCCTTCAACTGCGCAGAGTGGTTCTACTCGGCCATGGGCGCCATCCACGCACGCGGCATCATTGCCGGCATATACACCACCAACTCGGCCGATGCGGTTCTCCATGTCCTGGAGAGCTCCCATGCCCAGATCGTGGTCGTCGATGACGCCAAGCAGATGGACAAGATCCACGCGATCAGGGACAAGCTGCCAAACCTGAAGGCCGCCATCCAGATCCAGGAGCCATATGCTCCGTACCTAAAAAAGGAGGATGGCTACTATAGGGTGAGTTACTCCTTTAAATAAGTTTCGTTCCTCATATCAATACAGTACTTGATTGCATGTATATAATTCCCAATCATTAATGTCAAATTAATATTAATTGACTTAAAGGAATATGTAAAACTATGATTGGGAGTAAATAAATAGGTAGCCATTACAAACTACATTAGTGTGCAATTATAGAATAACATGATTTGCTTGCTCTTGATATGTTGAATATATTTATTAGAGTGATAAATTAATTGTGGCACAAATAAACTTACAATGGCTTAAAGCCTATTAGTTTATTAGAGTGTTTTTAATTAAAACTTACGGTCGCCCTAAGGAATATAAAAACTTCTGACATTGTATTAATATTATTTTTGTATGCATAAAAATAACAATATTAATTTTAATTGAACATAGAATTTTGTCCTGAAATGATTTTAAACAATGAAAGCTAATTAAAAAGCCACTTTAGTTGTGGCATAAATAACTTTTGATAGGCTTAAAGCTAATTTGTTCTATAGAATGCGTACTAATACACTTTGTTCAGACTTTGACGAGTAGAATTTTAATAATGCCAAAATTTAAAAAAACAAGTAAGGTCTTCTTCTCAAAGATAAAAATGCTTTTAATTGAACAAGATATTTTATTTTGCAAAGTTTAAAATAGACTAGCCTATTTAATTGTGCCATAAATGATATATATTGGGTTTAGATCCTATTATACTTATAAAGTGTGTACTTCCAACTTTTAAGAATTGATATTCATAAGACCTTCTTACTCCTGTTTAATATATTTTTATATAAAAATGTTCATTTATTCACCTTGCCATCCTCAGTGGTCGGAGATTGAGTCGATGAACGTGAGCGACGTGGAGGAGCAGTACAAGACCCGACTGGAGAACGTGGCGATCAACGAGTGCTGCTGCCTGGTCTACACCTCCGGCACGGTGGGCATGCCCAAGGGCGTGATGCTCTCCCACGACAACATCACCTTCGACGTGCGCGGCATTGTCAAGGCCATGGACCGGGTGGTGGTGGGCTCGGAGGCGATCGTCTCCTACTTGCCACTGTCGCACGTGGCCGCCCAAACGGTCGACATATACACCTGTGCCTTTGTGGCCGGCTGCATTTGGTTCGCCGACAAGGATGCGTTGAAGGGAACGCTGGTGAAGTCGCTGCAGGATGCGCGACCCACGCGGTTCATGGGCGTGCCGCGTGTGTACGAGAAGTTCCAGGAGCGGATGGTGGCCGTGGCCAGCTCCAATGGCAGCTTGAAGAAGATGATCGCCAGCTGGGCCAAGGGCATCACGCTGAAGCACTACATGGTGAGTCAAGGGTAAGTATTCCCCGATGAGGCCTTCTCTACTGCCAAATACTTCAACGCCGACTTTGTGTGCGCATAAATTATGCAAAAAGGATGCACAGTTAAAGTGGCTGCAACGACAGAATTCCATTCCCAACTCCCATTCCTGCATTTTTCATGGCTCAGCCTGCTTTTCGGCCAGCTTCCTAGCCGAGGAGCTAAATCTCTGCCAGGCTTTGGATGCACTGAGAAACATATTATGGGGTAGGCTTACTAAACTAATATGAAAATGTTTACAATATATTATCAAAATATATTGATTATATATTAGATTATTTTGACCAAACAATTTCTTAGATTCTGTAACTAAATTTGGGGCAGATTAATTTTTATTTTCCGTGTACGTGTGTTTCGGTGCCCGCTAAATTATGCAAGTCAAGCAGGGCCGGCTGCGCTCCTCGCTCTGGTTTAAGCTAAAATCACTGACAACAACATTACTCATACGTCACGTGGAACACGCAGCCAGCTCCCGCTGTTGCTTTTGCTGCTTGTACTGCTGCTGGCATTTACCAGCAAATAGAAAATGCAGGAGGAGCAGGACCAGGACCAGGAACAGGACCAAACATGCCATGCGGGCACGTCCTCTTAAGTAAAACGAGATGAATGGGGCGCGGAGTGCAGGCGTAGAGCTGGGGGAGTTCCTGTTAAGTGCAAATACTTGAGCAGTGATTGAGGCATTACGAAACCTATCAGGCGCTCCCAAAACCTAACGAAAATTAGGTGGGAATGGGGGAAACTTATGGTATCCTTGACATTAAATATCTTGTAGGCAATTTATTCAGAAATCTGATTGAAGTCCTTTCTAACTTGAAAGGCATGTCTATATTCTCAATTATCAATTTGGTTAAGTGACTAGTTTCTTTTAAATAGAGTTTAAAGGATTACATTTTAGTTGATACTGCTCTGTCTTATTTATAAATTTCTCATGGTATAATCTAGGTCAAACGCATAAATACACAAAAATATTATAAATAAATATAGATGTTGCTTAGTGTGCATATCATTCCATTTTGCAAATTTACAATTGCAACCATCAGGTTGTTTACCCTTTGATATTGAGGTGCACCTAATTCCCAAAGACCACCCATCCTACAGTACCGCATACCGCATACCCTTGCCCATCTCCCAGCCTTCAACAAAACTCATCAGTCAAGAAAGCTAATTAAACTTTTTGCCCGCAACTTCTTGCAGTAAGAGCTCCGGGGGATTCCGGTACAAGATTGCCAAGTCGCTCATCATGTCCAAGGTGAAGCAGGCCCTGGGCTTCGATCGGGTACTGACCCTGGCCAGTGCCGCAGCGCCCATGTCGCCGGAGACGAAGAAGTACTTCCTTAGCCTTGACCTCAAAATTGTGGATGCCTTTGGGATGTCGGAGACGTCCGGCTGCCACACTATCTGCCTGCCCGATTCGGTGGGCCTGAACACGATTGGCAAAACGCTGCCCGGCTGCGAGTCCAAGTTTATCAACAAGGACAGCAATGGCCATGGTGAGCTGTGCATCCGCGGACGCCATGTCTTCATGGGTTACATCGACAACAAGGAGAAAACGGAGGAGTCGCTGGACGACGACTGCTGGCTGCACTCCGGTGACCTGGGATATGTGGATGACAAGGGATATGTCTCGTTGACTGGGCGGTCCAAGGAGATCATCATCACCGCCGGCGGAGAGAACATTCCGCCCGTGCACATCGAGAACACCATCAAGAAGGAGCTGGATGCCATTTCCAATGCCTTTTTGGTGGGCGAACAGCGCAAGTTCCTCACTGTGCTAATCACCATTAAGGTAAGCTTGAGGATCGAGTTAATTTTACTTCTTCATAATCAATCAATTGTTTTTGGCAGACCGAAGTGGACAAGGACTCGGGTGAGCCCCTGGACGAGCTAAGCCACGATTCCTCCGTGTGGGTTAAGTCGCTGGGCGTGGAGCACAAGACGGTTTCGGAGATCCTGGCCGCAGGACCCTGCCCCAAGGTGTGGAAGTCCATCGAGGATGCCATCAAGCGGGCCAACAAACAATCGATTTCCAACGCCCAGAAGGTGCAGAAGTTCACCATTCTGCCGCACGACTTCTCCATTCCCACCGGCGAACTGGGCCCCACCCTGAAGGTCAAGCGCAATGTCGTCTCCAAAATGTATGCCGACGAGATCGAGAAACTCTACGCCTAGACTCCTTTCTGGGAGATTGAACTTGAGCTTTAATGTGAATTTGAATTTATCGGACTTCCAAGCCACTCGAGTGCCACTCTTGATTGGATATAGGCTGATGTTAACTGTTGGATATTATACTTAGACATTGTAGCTTGCCTCCGATTAGGTCCACAGATCTTTAATTAGTACCTAAGATTTATTTTGTATATGCTATTTGGTTGTACCAACTGAACAAAACGAAGTTTTTTATTGTCTGAAGAACAACAATAAATTTGTAACTAGATTTCTAACTGGGAATTTTGTTCTTAGTTTCTAAAAATAAACATGTGTATTTTCAGAACTGAAATGATTATATTAACAATATGGTAGGCTTAGATTTTAGTCGACTTCAAAAATTTAGATTGGGTATGGTGATATATGGTTTCCACCCTCATAAGCCCTATGTCTCCGGTTCGGAGGTGGCTTCCGTTTCCGCTTCCGCCTCCGGCCCAAGACCCTTGGCCAGTCGCTCGGCGACGCGCTGCATCAGCTCCTCCATGCTCATCTCGATCTGGACACAGGCCCGTCGTCCCGGATCAAATCGCTGCTCGTGACCGCACTGCACCCGCTCGCAGCGCAGGCTCAAGCTGAACCAGCTGCTCGCGTCCTTGAATCCCGGCCTGCACTCGCACTCGTTGTGAGCCACACAGTGGCTGTGCTCCGGACAGCCGCCCTGGCAGATGGGCCGGCACACGAGCTGGTGGCCAGTGGGGCGGTGGGTGGTGTGGTGGTGCGACGGCTCGTAGCCCCGCTGGCAGTGGCAGCGCTCCGGTTCCGCACAGTAGCTGTGGGCGGGACACGCCTCCTGGCAAACGGGCTCGCAGAAGCCGAACAGGATGGTGCGGTATCCCGGACAGCATACCTGGATGCTGTCCCAGCGCACCCGCTCCTCGAACACCACATAACTGTCCAAGTCCGCTTGGTGGCTGGCATTCAGCGGACTGGCGATCCGTCTCTTGGCCACCGGCACCTGGTACTTGACACTGATGTTCTTCTGGCAGTGACCGTTGGTGATGGCCATGCCAATCACCTCCAGCTGCAACGTCCACAGGACGAGAACTACAACGGGGCAGAGCACTTGGCACTGCATTGATGGCGACTCACTTTGGGTTGGGCTGAAGATTGTGCGTACGAAGCCGCAAGTGCACTAAACGCAACCGCCCGAGATTAAAGTGAAAGCCAATACGATTCTTTTGTTATTGTTCACTCGGCAAAAATACGAAACCCCGAATGCATCCAAAAACAATAGTCAAAAAAAAATTGTTTGATTTTTTATTCATCAGTGCTGTTATGCAGTAAAAACAGAGTGTGTCGCCAAAATTTTAAAAATTGTAAATTATAAAACGGCTATGCTTGATGACTAAATAAAATTCTAAGTCTGTTTTCTCGCCTTTAAGCTATGATAAAAAGGGTTTGAACTCTTCAATTCCATACGGTTTTCTTAGTTTGAAACTTATTTTCAACTTACAAAGAAGACGAGAAAACTGCCCTAAGATATACAAACTCAAATTTGTTTTAAAGGTACAATGATTTTCAGTCTCTCTTGACTTGAATTGTGTAAATGCTGCATTTGTAAATTTGTTTAAAGGTACAATTATAATTGAGTTTTTTTAGGTGTGCATCATCTTACACTTCGGGCCGTTGGCAGTCTTCAGTCGTACGATAAGTGAGTCTGTCGGTCTCTTATTATTATTTCTTTTTGCATCGGCTGCCCTCCTTATCAACAACATTGGAAATGTACCGAGACGACCGTTTGGAGAGTGGAGAAACGCTCTTTATCGAGCATGTTGCATCAAAGTGGGGAAAACAATCAGGTTTGGGTTGGGGCCTCTTGTCTTACAACCCGATCGATGCAACATGTTGGAGATATATATTTTATTCAAAAAGCCAAGATGGACATTTTAAGATTTATTAATAATATTACAAAGATCATTTTAGAGCAACTTTTATTGTTCATATTAATTGATTGTTCAAAAATACTCCTTATTCTAATTTTTAAATTTTAACTGGCTAACATATCGGCTGGCAAGTGTATTTGTTGAATTATTGAAAAAAAAAAAAACAAAGAAACTATAACTAAATCTTAACTGCTTTGTTTTGGTTGTGAATGACTCAAACTATTTTTTAGTAAAGAAATTTTGCGCAGCAGGCAAAATTAAGTTTAGTCGAGACTTACTATCGCAAGCACTTTGTTTACTTCGTAGCCTAACCTAATAATTGTGGTTGGGTACATATGTATACACAACTTGTCCTCCCTTTGCAATCATCTACACCAAATCAACTGTGCAAATGGGTTTTTTCAACTGGTTCTAAACTTAAACATACGTAAATACTTGGCCGTCGACTAGTCTACTAACATGCTCTTACAGCAATTGTATGAACGCATGTACTTACACTTGGGATAAAATATTAACAAGGTTCGCAAAATGTTGACTAGATAATTTTTTAAAAATCAAGGGAATAAAAATTAAAAAACGGATCTTTTCTTTTATCTAAAAATAGATAAAGGTGCACAGAGAGCAAATAAAAAAATCGTTATTTTATTTTTAGAAACTGAAATCAATTGTGAATTTTATTTTCTTTAATTTAACAGATTTACGCAACTTTCTTCATAAATCATATCAATCCCGAAATGTACATAATTAAATTTTCAAATCCGAATTTAGAATTAGATTATTAGTTTGTTTCTCCAAGTGGACAACATACAAGTCGACAGCCAGACGGACTAGGCAAGCAGACACGTGTTCGTTTGCTGGCCGAGCTCTGATGGATACGGATGCTTCCGGCGGAGGAGTACGGGTGTTCGGGGGTGTACGGGTATGGGTACGGGCATGGGCATACGGGGATACGGGTATTTCGCATCGCTTCGCAGCAACAGTAGAGTTGTATGTGCCGGGCGGGTTTTGCATATGAGCTTTGTGCGTTTGTGTTGCTCGATATATACAAATAAACATAAGCAGCCAGCAGGCGAGCAGAAACGATTAGCAGGCCGAAAGACCAGAGGAGCGTGTGTGTGGTGTGCAATGCTCCGATGATGTTGTTGTTGCTGCTGCGACGGCATTGTGTAGTTGTGGGGCGGACTAGGGGTGGGGAGGAGCGGTTAATGTTACCCCATGAAAGCTAAAACGGTAACGGGCGACGTTCTCACAAATTCGTAGGTATGTAACGTACACATGTTTACATACCCGTCTATCTACATTCACCAACGAGTGTGTGTTGTGTGTGTGTAATGAGCAATAGCAGGGGCAGCGCGAAAGCCAAAACCAGAAATGGAAAGAAACTGAAATGTAATAGGTGACGCCGAGGAGAGTATTCAAATATGTAAAGCTACACCGAAAATAATGAAATATAATTACAAATATAACCAAATCTTGTAAGCATAGCTGCAAGGTTGGTATTTTAGACTACAGCGCTGATGTTCGAAGTCCAATTTCGCGAAATTCATATCCTAACTGTGTATTATATATTTATCAAGTACTGATTTCGCAGGGAAAAAAGGTTTTAAGCCTCAAACTATTAAAATAAAATTAAAAGCAACAGAAGATAAAATAAATACATTTTGTTGTATCAAGTTAGTATAAGAAATTAATTAATTCTATTTTTCTCCGTGTATAAACATCTGAGTATGTACGACATGTGTATCTGTATGTAGGCAGTGCGACCTGTTCGCATGCCAATCAGCATGTGTGTTGTTGTATGCCGGCGGTGATGACGTAGCACAGCTCATGGAAATTGCTCGCCGGCACGCCATCGTTTCGCAGCCAGCGTCGCTGTAAGCGGCATTGCAACAACACCGACCTCAGAGGAGCAACAACTTTATTTGTTGTGATTATCGGCTGGTGGCGTTCAGCGTATCGCCGACAGACGCTGTCTGAAAAATTGGGACATGTCTCGCACAGAAACGGTCGGAAAAGGTGGCCACATCATCGAAACCATGTTCACAGTTTCAAAAAAAATTTAATTGAAGCACCGTTATTCAAAAAATGTATTAAGTAGTAATAATAGTAATTAATTAAACATTCTAGCTGATACAACTTTATACATATTTTGGTAAAACTATTTTTAAAAATAAAAATGTAGCCTAATTGTTCTACTCTTTTTGGCTTAAAGAAAATTGTTAAAATGTAATAAAATTAAGAGTTGTTTTGTATTGTATAATAAATTATTTTAGTTGAAACTAATAAAGGCCAAAGTTTTAGGTTAAAACATTTTTATTCGAACTATTTATTTTCAAAAATTAAAAAATTTAATGCTGAATTTTCTAGGACATGATTTCAAACTTTGCTCGCTCAGCGCAGAGAGGCGTTCTGCTCCATTTGGGAAAATTACGGCAGTCATAAGGCACTTTCCATGATCGAGCACAATCACTGCTCGACGGCCATTAATACCATTCAGTCTAGAAGTGACTTCAGAATTTTCCACTGATCAACAATGACGACAGAAAATCGAGGCATCATCGAAAACAAATAGCGGCTATTAAAAAGAAAGACAGATAGAAGGAGCAATGGAGAGGGAGAGTGTTACTCCGCAATCGGTGCGTGAATGATGGGCGATAACTCGACGACTAAGCCGATGATAGTGACAGTAATGATGAATATTACAGGGGCTGCTCAAATGCACTGCCCGGTGCACTCGAACCGATTATCTTCTGGTACTATCAGCCAAATGCACTCGAGCTGATCTTGTGACTTTGCTGACGACAGAATCGAAAGGGGGCCAACATCGTTATACTACACTTAAATCATTATTGCATATTTAATTCAGATGAGCTCGCATTTTTCTGCTTGCGACTAGTTTTATTACGGTTCCCACCAGTCAAATGAGATTAATGGAAAATTTTTCAGGGTATTTTTGAAGCAACAGAACATCAATCTTCAACAACTAATAAAGAAATAAATCAAATACATATTTAAAAATACCAAAACAAAAACATTTTGATGAGAAAATGGTATATCTTTATAACATGGTAACTTTTTATTTAAAATAAACATTTTTGTATTGATTTGATTAAAAAGTACACTAATTTTATTTTGTGCTTAGTTTCTATAAAAACTTTTCTCTAACAGATCAGTAATTAGTGGGTATCTCACAGTCGTGGCTTGATTGCGATTCCACTTGCTTTTGCGATGATTTCGTCACCATGCCATTGGACTTGGATTAGTTTTCGTATCAGTTTCGTGCTAATGCGGGTACTTATAGAAAACAGTTTTAAATACCGGTTACCGTTGTAATTGCTACTTATGTGGCTGACCAGTCGGTTCCGATGGAGGGGAAACGGCAAAGGCAAAGGCAGAGGCAACGTCAAAGATATAGAACCAGAATCGAGAGAGGGGACTGGGTTCCGAGTACAGCTGATGATGATATGTTTGTATAGAAATGAGTTTGAATGAGTTGCAGGGGGACGTACCTACATATGTATATGTACCTACTTGTACTGGTTCATATATATGTACCCATGTCGGTCGTCCGCTTGTTTGTCAATATGTACACATGTTATTTGATTTTCGTTTCGCTTTTTATGTCTGCGATGTGCTGTAGCTGTTGTTGCTGTTGTTTTTGTTGTTGTTGCTGGTGGTACATGAATATAAATGCTGTTTATCTGTACCGCCCCCTTTTTGCCCCCGTCCACAAGCCCCCCCTTCTAGTTTGTGTGTGTGTGTGTGTGTATGGGTATTGTATGTGCACGAATGTGTTTCCTTATTGTTGTGTGTACTTGTTTGTTTGCTGCTAGTTGTTATTGTTGCTCGTGCTGCTGCTTTGCTCGCATGAACTTTTTGCTTTGGCTCGGCTCTTTCACGCCTGCTAATCACTGCTGTGCGCCGGGTGGTTTCGCTATATCTATATGTACACAAACAAATCTACAAAAGTCCCAGACATGCGCCACCACCACCCATTTGCCCACTCCAATCGCCAGCCCATCGCCCCTCTGCCACGCCCACTGCCCGCACATTAGGTCACTCGATGTGCGTGTAAATATGTACAGAGCATATTGTTACACATGCCAGGCCGATCGGATGAATGGTCGAGGGTTTGCATATCGATATAGTCTACGAGCAGAGCCGAAGATATGGCAAATCACTTTCAATGCGTCCAATCGAGTATGTGTATCTGTAGCTGTATCAATGGATGTAACGATTTGGAGTCAAATGGTTGACCGAATCTATGTGCCACTCTATTTAGGCTGGACCATGTTCGCCTAATATGCCCTAGATTAAGGGAATTAACAACGCTTCAGTTTATTTTTAAAATATTAAGGAAAGCCCTTGACTTTCGTAGCAAACAATCATAATGATGTGTTACCATAGGTATGCAGTCTTAAAATTTTTCCGTGAAAGTATTTGGCAAAAACAACAATGATATTTTGGCATTTAAAAATATTTCCAAGCAGCTTTTTAAAAATTAAATAAATTCCTTTTTTACCTACTTAAAAAAATGAGGCTGTTCAATTATTTTTGGTAATTTCTGATATTAACAGAGTACAATATAAATTAATATCCTTGATTACCAAATAATCATCAACATAAACTATATAACAGTCAATGAAAATCTTTACGTCCTTCTTTCTGAACCACCCGATTCGAATATAATGTTTTCTCAATGTCCATTTTATTGTTAGCTTTATTGCTAGTTTGTATTTAAGGTGGGATTTTCCTTTTTACATGCCTATGCGGCCATGTTTGCACTAAAACCCGTACATACGATTACATCTGCTATTGCGCCCCTTCAAACCCCTGCCCGCATATACATATATTCGGATTTTTATTCTTTCCTGGCATTAGTCGATATAAATGCCATGTACCGTTACACATGCCGCACTCACACTCAAAAATACATATATATTTATATAGTTGCGAGTAGAATAGGAAAAAAACAAGCGAGAAAAACAGAATATTGCAACTATTTGTGTTGTAGTTTTGATGCAATAAAGCCCCCGGCCACACCCCGCCATCCCCTCGCAAAGCCCACTGACAATGGGTGCACTTGTTACCCATTCATGAGCTGCTGTTCATTGGTAAATAATTTCATAATAATGTTGTTGTTGCGAGCATAACAAAAGATAAGCTGAGAATTGCAACTATTACATTTGAGTTAATAATATTTTCGTTTTATCGCCTGCCCCAAAGTCACCACATATGGTGCATGAGTTTCAATGTATGCGAATGGCATACGCCCGTTTGACACTTAGCAATAAAATAAATTAAACAATAAATTATAAATTTGTACAAAAAATGACTGTTCGTTGAGCAGGCGCCCAGAAGTGTGAAACCAATGAAAACTCGACTGCGATTTGTTATTTTCAGCTGGCCTGTGTGAAAGTTTTTTCTCTACCTCTCTATGTGACGAAATGCGTGTGTGTCGGATGTGTGTGTGTGTATGATGTGTGTGTGGCATATGTCTAATGGGCCCGACTGACCGACCAAATGGGAAGTCCGGGCTCTTGAGGGGGAATATCGGCCGTAAAACCATGTTTCCCACACAGCTGCAGTACCTGGTCACGGGCGTATGGGTCTTTTTCCACATATGTGAGGACGCCCTGCACGGGGTTACCCAATTATGTACTGCCGCTACCTGAACTACTGAACTACTTGAAACTCAGCCCTGCCCTCCGCTTGTCGAAGGTCAGTTTTTTATGGGATCTACACTGCGTTGAGTAGCAGAACAAATCCCATATATTATTCCAGTTCCATTAAGCAAAAATGAAATTAAATGAAAGTAAAAAAATTGTGACCCGCATTGTTGACCCTTTAAATACATTCATATTAGCTTCTGTTGTTCTCTCATTAATAATTACTAGGTTTAGTTTTTTTTACAACATTCAGGAATCCTTTTATTTAAATTCCCTAATTGCTAAAACACTGCTACATTGATTAGAACCGAAATGTTTTTTATTGACATCGTTCACCCCAGTATATTTAATAAATATATTTACATTTTATAATATATAATACTCTATCTTTAAGAGACTTTTGTACTCATGGAACTCATTCACTTATTTTTCGTAAGGTTATGACATTCTGAGTCCTGCTTCCATGACAAACACGACTGAATTTTGTAGCGCGAGCCAGCTGATAATAATAATCGGCATCAGTCTTAAAGGTTTGTTGCTACAGAGAGCAACATACTAAGACTATGTGTCGTTATCAGTCAAAGACCGATCCCACTCCAAATTCTTCGCACGCGTCTAAAGGTCAGACAATGTATTTCAAATGGCAGACAAGAACTCTTGGCTAATCGTTGCTTGAGGTTCAAGTGATTGCCAAAGCCGGTAGCCTATTTATTGCTTAAAGGCACTGTGGTTCAAGTATACTAAATACTATACATTTTTATTCAATTTCAAAAGTCTTTTAATTTAAGATTAACATTCAAAAGCTCAACCAAATAGTATATGTTCTTATTAAATTTCGAAAATCATTTAATTAAAACCCAGTATTTAATCTACCAAAATGACTTCCAAAACTAAAAAGATGTGTTTTGTAAAAAGAAAAAAGTACAATTTTTAATGTTGTTCTATATGGTTTGTTATATAACTTTATTATTAGCGTTACATAATTGTTTAGCGTACTTATAATCTAGAATAACAGAGTAAAATGGAGTTATGTGTTATGGAGTTATGTATCAAAAGGTTCGTCAACCGAGTCTGTAAATGCAGATTTCACTTAATTTCTTGAAATCCCAATGCGGGCAGAGCTGGTAAAACCACAGTGATCGCCTGGGAAGTACGCCTTCTCTGGCTGATGTGCAAGTCCGGCCTTATCAGCATCTGGTGGCGAGGGCATAAATACCCGTGTCCAGAACCTGACCGCGTTTATTCGTTGGGCTCGCCTTCAGCATGAACGACCTCAAGTCAGCCACGAGCTATACGAGCACCTCCCTTCACGAGGCTGTCAAACTGCGCCTGGACGAGCCGGGATCCTTTTCGAAGTCAGTCCTGCCGCAGACGATTCCCCAGTTCTTCAAGGAGGCATGTGAGAAGTATGCCGATCTGCCCGCCTTGGTGTGGGAAACGCCAGGATCGGGAGTCGATGGTTGGACCACTCTAAAATATGGCGAATACCAGCAGCGAGTGGAGCAGGCCGCTTTGATGCTGCTGAGCGTAGGAGTCGAGGAGCGCAGTTCGGTGGGTATCCTGGCCTTCAATTGTCCTGAATGGTTCTTTACTGAGTTTGGAGCTCTACAAGCTGGAGCCGTAGTTGCTGGCATTTATCCAAGCAACTCGGCGGAGGCAGTTTATCATGTCTTGGCCACCGGCGAGTCCTCCGTTTGTGTGGTGGACGATGCCCAGCAGATGGCCAAATTGAGGGCAATTAAGGAACGTTTGCCCCTGCTCAAAGCTGTGATCCAGCTGCACGGACCCTTTGAGGCCTTCGTCGATCAGGAACCCGGCTTCTTCAGCTGGCAGAACCTGCAGGAGCGCACCTTCTCCAGCGAACTCAGAGAGGAACTGGTGGCCCGGGAATCCCGGATTCGTGCCAACGAGTGTGCCATGCTGATCTTCACCTCTGGCACAGTGGGTATGCCCAAGGCGGTAATGCTGTCCCACGACAACATCATTTTTGACGCCAAATCCGCGGCGATTGGCCTGAAGGATGTGCAAGTCGGCAAGGAGAGCTTCGTGAGCTACCTGCCGCTGAGTCATGTGGCTGCCCAAATTTTCGATGTCTTTCTGGCTCCAGTTCATGCCGGATGTGTTACCTTTGCGGACAAGGACGCGCTCAAGGGCACGCTGATCAAAACCTTTCGCAAGGCCAGGCCAACGAAAATGTTCGGAGTTCCACGCGTTTTCGAGAAACTTCAAGAACGTCTGGTGGCCGCAGAGGCCAAGGCGAAACCCTATTCCAGACTCCTTCTAGCTCGGGCTAGAGCGGCTGTGGCCGAACACCAGATAACACTGATGGCGGGGTAAGTCGAGCTAATCTACAAATACTAAGCATCTAATAATGTGATTTATTATCACTTAACAAATTTGTTTTGCTCATGACCTATCTAAGAGACTTTTTAGAAAGCTTAGACTTTATTAAAGACTTAAATACACAGCCAATAAAAAATACAAACCCACATTTAAACGCAGATTTTAATAAAATTAAGCCATTAAACCTTCAAATTTTTGTCTTTTCAAAATCAGATTTCTGTGATTCAAGTTATGGCCTTAGAAGTACTGGGTTAGGTAACTTATTATTAATTATTTAATACAAATTCCATAAATTTAGAATTCATAATCAAAAGAAAAAAATAAGGAAAAGTAATTATCTGATAATTTTCGCTGTTACTGAACCATTTCATTATAATATTATTAATATATAAATTCCCTATATCAGAAAATCCCCATCCATTTATGGAAGTACCAAGTACTGGCTAGCTTCTCGCATCATAAAGCCCATTCGTGAGATGATAGGACTGGACAATTGTCGTGTTTTTCTGACCGGTGGAGCTCCCACCTCGGATGAGATGAAGCAGTTCTTCCTTGGTTTGGACATTCCACTGGGCGAGTGCTATGGAATGTCGGAAAGCGGTGGTGCCATCACCCTGAATGTGGAAATCAGCAATTTATACAGTGCCGGGCAGGCATGCGAGGGATTGACACTGAAGATCCACGAGCCCGACTGCAATGGCCAGGGGGAGATCTTGATGCGGGGTCGCAGCATTTTCATGGGCTATCTGGGATTGCCGGAAAAGACCGAGGAGTCGATCAATGAGGACGGCTGGCTGCACTCCGGCGACTTGGGCTACTTCGATGCCAAGGGAAATCTGGTGATCTCCGGTCGACTCAAGGAGCTGATCATCACCGCCGGCGGGGAGAACATTCCCCCGGTGCACATCGAGGAGCTGATCAAGAAGGAGCTGCCCTGCGTGAGCAATGTGCTACTCATCGGCGATCATCGTAAGTATCTGTCGGTGTTGCTGTCCCTGAAGACGAAGTCCGATGGCAAGACGGGGGTTCCCCTGGACGCACTGCGCGAGGAGACGATCGAGTGGCTACGCGATCTGGACATCCATGAGACCCGTCTCTCCGATCTCCTGTCCATTCCCGCCGATCTGCAGCTACCCAACGACACTGCCGCAGTGGCAGCTGCCCTGGAAATCAGCGCTGAGCCCAAGCTCCTGGAAGCCATCGAGGAGGGCATCAAGCGGGCCAACAAACATGCCATCTCGAATGCCCAAAAAGTGCAGAAGTTCGCCCTCATTCCCCACGAGTTTTCACTGGCCACCGGAGAACTGGGTCCCACGCTCAAAATCAGGCGAAATATTGTCCACGCCAAATACTCGACAGTCATAGAGCGTCTGTACAAGTAATACAGTTTAACAATGCATTTTTTAGCTTAGGTCTAGATTTTATTACTCAAAGTTTACAATGTAATCGATTCTTATATTAAATATATTTTAAGACATAATAAACTCAATATATTTGTTTATTAAAGCTGTGCAATCAATATATTTTTAGATTGGGCTACGATCTTTCCAGTTCATTTCTGACGGGCTGCCATTGAACTTTGCTGACGTACTGAAATAAACAAGGGGGTTATTGATAATCACTTTAATTAATAGGTGATTGACTTTGATTATACATAGAATAAAAACAAAACTGAAAATCATATTAAATTAAAATGGAAATGCCCTAAAGATGCCACTCTTGGCTGAAACTATTTTACATTAAAAGGTATTGGTAAGCTACTGACTAATAAAATAAGATTGTTTTATCGTCTTCGTTTTTCAATAGGTTACAAATTTAGATGCCTTCAAAAGGTAATCAAGATATTAATGTTCACAACAAACCACATTATTAAGCTCCTTTTTCCCAAGTTTACGTTTCTCATTGCGATCAACAAACCGTCGCAACCAACGAAGTCCTGCAAAGGCAATTGCAATGGCCGCCAGCATCCAGATGATCACCGATCGCGAGTCGAATCGATCTGTAGGTATTTTGGGCCAGGTGAGAGGAGGTGGCGACGGATTGGAATCATCATAGGTTTGCTAGTCCCAAAAAAAAGTATTTTAAAATAATCAAACAAGTCATTTAAAGTTTGATTTTCACTTACGCCACACTCGCAATTGTCTGTTTTTTGTAGGGGAACTGCACTCACATCCAGCAAAATAATAGAGCGATTACTTTCTCCCTCAGAGCAGTCCACTCCGTCAATATTGGTTATATTTTCACTCCAATCATTAATCACACTCCAAGGACGTGCGAAATTCACGGAGTTTGGCAGCTTACGCACCAAATTCGCAACCAACCATGCGCAGTTCCAATTATTATCCGCCAGATTTAGGTAACGAAATCGAAGAAGACTGCTCAGATTGACCGAACTAAGGCGATTTGAGCTGAGGTCCACGTAAAGTGATAGACTGTTGAGGGACGGAGACAGTCTGTGCAGAAATTTAGCATCATCCAGTGCGTTTCCGTTCAATTTCATATATCTCAAGTGATTTTGCTTGTGGAAAATCTGAGGGGATAACTTTACAATTTGGTTGTTAGCAAGAATAATCTCCTCCAGTTGGGTGTTGGCATGAAATAAGGTCTCGGGTAGTGTGGTCAGTCGATTTAAGCTGACATCAATTTGCAGAAGGGCGACCAGAGACTCCAGACTTTCCGTTTCCATTTCGTCTACATAGTTATGGCTTATGTTCAGGCGCTGTATTTAAAAAGTTAAGTGCATAAAGTCCAAGTATGGCCGTTAATTACTAGATAAAATACATTTCTACCTAAATATTTTTACATATGTGTATGAACTATTTGCAAAGATCACATCGCCAATAAAAAAAGTTAGTTTAATGATCTTAACTTACTTAAGCTTAAGTTATCTTTTTTATCAGTATTACAGAGCTAGCAAATCTATGGAAAAATTCACAAGAGGTACCTTATCAGAAGGAGAGGTATTTGAAAACTCACCTCCAATGAGTCCAAGCCCGATAAAGTCTCTTTACTCAGTTTAGTTAAGTTATTGAAACTCAAATCCAGGTTCTGAAGCTCAAAGTTTTTGGAGAGCCCAAGTGGCTCAAGTTTTTGCACAAGATTATTCGATAGATTTAGGTGAACCAGTCGAGCCAGTCCGCGCTGACTGAGAAATTGAAGACTGCTCAATAGATTTTGATCCAATCGTAGGCTTCGAAGATGGGTATTACCCTCGAAGGACTCCATTTCTATGCTGTCTATTCGATTATGCTGAAGTGATAAACTTGAGAGGCGATGGAGTCCCCGAAAGAAGCTGCCATCCAAGTGTTGCAGTTGATTTCCATTCAGATGTAGATGCTTTAAATGGGATAATCCATAAAAGGAATCCTCCTCGATTTGGTTGATTTGGTTATTTTGCAAGTCCAGTTGCTGCAGCTGGGGATATAGTCCGAAGATCTTGGACCTCAGCTTGCTTAATCTATTGTGACTAAGGTCGAGGATGGACAGAGCACCCAAGGGTTCACTGGACCAGGATCTCAGAACACTCAGATTATTGTGGCCGAGGGAGAGTGATTGTAGCCTAATCAGGCCATTAAGCGCAAAGTCATCCAAATTACTTAGTCCACTATGTTGCAGCTCCAGTTGGAGCAGATGGTCAAAGCGCACGAAGAAGGCATTTTCCAGGTGCGGCAGAGTGCAGTTGCTCAAGGTGAGTGAAGTCAGAAGCTCCGTGTTCCGTATCAAGGTCACCTCGGTAATATTGCAGTTGCTCAACGACAGGCAACTCACCCTGAAGCTGAAGCTAAGGATCAGCAGTAGGAGACTCACTGGAAGTGGGTACATCGCGTGGCACAATTCGGCGGAGACTAAGCCCACGGATCTGGGCCTCTGTAAAGTGAGCCCCTATCTTATTGCAGCAGATCGTGGAGCCAGCCGACAACCCGTCAAGATAGCTAATCAACTGGTCGGCGTTTGCCAAGGGAAAACATTTGCCCTCATTTCAGTCAACGTTGGAAAAAGCTCGGCTACTGTTTCAAGAACTCGCAAAATGCATCAGCTAGATATACGGCTAAACAGGTTGGGGCCTTACCTTTTTAAAATTCTATCTTAGGAGACTTACACGAGTTATTGTCACACAAGTAAGGCAATGAATATTATATTTAAAATTAACATACATTTTAATGCACATTGAATATTTACAAGGCTGTAAAATTATGCATAACACAAAAAATTAAAATATTTAAATGGAATTCAAAGAATATAATTAGTTGCCAATGCAAAGCTACATAAATTGCACCTATGTATATTTCAATTAAAATATACAAGGGCACAGTTGAAATCTCTTCGCTTCCTCTCTGTTTTTATCTCTGCGGGACCATTTTGGCTTGTTTTGTTTGTTTTTCACCTGCATATCAACATTTACTTTATCCTATTTGCTGATTTTGACGGGCTCACGAGATTGTATATGAATGCAGGTGTGGCATGGGAGGTAGAATTGGTTGTGTGATGTGTGTGAAAGCAGTCCTGGAGAAGGGAATAACCACAGCTGAAAAGCCGCAACAAGCTCTGCAGTCCACTGGATTGTTCAGACACAGATATTGAACAAAACCAGAACCTCCCCAAATAAAACGATTATGACCATACAAACCCGCCTGTTGCCACATTGTTGCGATGTTTATTAATTCAAACGTTGAGTCTGTGCCAGAATATGTGGCTGTCCTTGTTGCTTTATTTGGCTTGCAAATTGAAATTGAAACGGGGATGCATCCTCGGCAGCGATTTTAAAAGGCTTAACAACTGAACGAAAATGCAATCCCGAAACAATTTCAATGTCATCACAATATGATTGCATTGCGGTTGAACTGAAAAACCAAGAAAGTTGGCCTTTGAACATAAAGAAATTTATTGGGTTGAGGTACAATAATAGTACAATAAAAAGCTCAGAACTAAAAATAGCAAAAAAGAAAAAATACCAATATAAAATCCAAATAAACAAATTCAATACAAATCAGTTTAATCAGCAATTTGGCTTTATTTATTACAATCGAATAAGTAGGTGATTTATAAACCAACATAAAATATGTTGTTAATGCTATCTATTTTAAAATATTTAGAAAAGTATTCTGAGAGTTGTCTTTAGAGCAATTTATATATTTATTCTTTCTGTCACTAACCTAGCGATGCAAAATAATCTTATACTTAATGCCTAGTCACGAAGCATACTTTTAGGCAGCCAAAAATATCATACTCAAATATTACTTATCTACCGCTAGTCTATAACTTTTTCTATCATTTTCTTAAACGTTTTCTTCTTTTAGCAGAACCAATTGATTTCTATTTCCCAGCCTAAATGCCGTCTTAAATTTTACTACCACAAAAACTTTGAGCGGCGGACGAACTTTGACTTCAATGTTCCCGCATATACAAAGTCGGTCCTTGCGCTAAAATGACAAATTTAATATGTACTCCTTGTCTGCCGCTTGTTTGTTTGCCTTCTCGGCGCTTTAGCTGCATTTTCCTTTTTGGCCAATGCAATAAAAAAGGAGAAGAAATTACCAAAAGACTTGGCCAAATGCCAGCTAGAGCAGGCAGAATGCAGAAGGCAGAAGGCAGAGGACGGCCAACACATTTGCCAGAAGCAATGCAGATGGTCGGGAGCTCAGTAAAAGTGGGGGAACGAGGAGTTATCTGCACACTCGCCAAACTGTTTTTATTTGCCAGCAAGTCTGGCATTCAAGCTCTATTGCAGAGGCCCTCCATTTCGGAGTGTGTATATATGGGTATTAAAATATTTTCTTACATATTTCAGCTGCCAAAATTATTTCAATTTAGTTCCGCAAAATAAATTTGCTTCCGGTTTTGTCTGCTCTACCATCGCTTCTTTCGTTTTCATACGATGAACATGAAAGTGCCATATTATTTACTTATTCGAATGATATTTATGACAAATTAAGTCTGTGGAAAGGATCCAACTTAAGTCAGTTGGCATCAAATATTTAAGCCAGCATAAGGCAACCGTAAAAGCGATTATTTGTATGCATTTTGAAACCGATTTGCATAATAACTTTTAGCTTATTTTCTCTTAATTTCCTTTTCTTTGATGGATAGTTATTGGCAGAACTATATGTCTGGTAAGGAACTAATTCATACTAAAAATAGTTCAAATAAAAACTTTTATAATTAACAACTGTTATCATTATACTTATTTTTAATTGGTGGCCTGGGAATATTTGGTATCTTCACAAATTAAAGCGATACCTTGAACACTTCTTGAGTGCAACGAAGTATTTATTCGTGCCTAACCTTTCAAAGTCCTTGTTAAATTTTTAATTGCTTTGCCAAACTTACTGCACATTAATTTCCCTTGAAATCAGACGATTTAAAATCTCCCTTTTCTCTTTTCTATTAACATTTTAAAAAGCGCATTGTACTTTTTTAACGTACACTGAGTTTTTCTTTGCCAAACGCCCACACAGGACTCATCCCGAATGCATATCCCCAACCGAACTCCAACTTCCTCTG